GGGAGACTGAGAGTGGCTGGCTGAGAGAAAACATGGATTCTGTTGAACGTTCATTGATGAGGGGACTCTATGGAGTGAGTGAGGACCCAGGAAGGAGTGGCTTTTTTTGGGGTGTGTGTGTGTGTGTGTGTGTGTGTGTGTGTGTGTTATAATTTGTGTGACTGGAGAAGATTCAGAAGAGAGAACATTTGACTTTGTTTCCTTTGGTCCTAATTCATTGGGAACCTTCACTTCCCTGGGGATTTGGACTAAGACAGCTTTAAAGTTGTGTTTTTCTCCCCCATTGGAATGAAAAGTGACATGCAGAATGAATGGTTGAGGAGACTTGTTTAGGCTGGAGGGGAAAATATGAACTGGAGAAGAGAATGTCAACATGGTCATTGTCCTTGCCTGGGTGAACTAGATGAGGGGTGAACTGTCTCTCCAGGCTATCAGAAGGCACAGCAAGGACCACGGTGTTCAGGCAGGTTTTAGGTTAGAATCAGGAACAACTTCTATTTTTTTTTAAATTTATTTTATGGATTTTCCACAGAAAGGAAGGGAGAGGGATAGAGAGCTAGAAATGTCAATGAGAAAGAAACATCAACCAGCTGCCTCCTGCACGCCCCCTACAAGGGCATGTACTTGGTTGATGTGCCAGCAACCAATGTACATGCCCTTGACCGGAATCAAACCTGGGACCTTTCAGTCCACAGACTGACGCTCTATCCACTGAGCCAAACCGGTTTTGGCAGGAACAACTTTTAAACAAGATGGCTGGGGAATAAAAAGGCAGTCGTGGGTGCTGTGAGGGATGGAGGAAAGGGGACACACACCTACACATATTGGCTTTCTCATCTCATAGCTCGTGCATCCTTGGGGCTTTGGCCCACCACAGTCCTCTCAGCTGTTGGTGCCTTGTAACCTTTAGGTTTATACACTTACTATTAACTTTCCCTTCCATTAATTCAAATTCCCAAATAAGTCCCTGCTTGGTTCTCACCGCTTCAGGCACTCATCACTGGGACAGTCAAGTGAGGCCAGGGTTGGATTACTGGTCTAGAAGCCTCGTCCCCTAAGATTACCGTCTGGCAGGGACTGTGGGCAGGGCAGGCACTGTGAAAGCCACATCCAGGATCTAGTTTATTGTGGTGGATTAAGGGCCCTGCTCCCTAAGTATGGGTAATATGCGAACTATGCTTCCACTTCTGGATTATAGGTTATTCTTGTGTTGGTTCTATTCTAAGTCTTTGGGTGGAGTTCTAGCCCAAAATGTGATTTGATTCCACAGCACCAGCTAAGTGCCTACTGTATGCCCTGTAGATGCACAATAAATGCATAACAGCCCTGCCCATCTCTCTGGGACCAACTTAACTGCTAAGTACTGACATGAGGAAATGACAGAACAGTGTGACCATGGACTCCTTCTGAGAGCTCAGGCTCTGCGGCTTGTAGAGGGAAGGGGCTCAGGTTGTCGAACACAGACCACATTGTTAAGTGTTCTGTAAGTAATATGCTTTATGGGGGCAGCAGCTTAGATTCTGTATCAGTATCTAAGACAAAGCCTTAATACAAAGAAGAAAACCCTGTGTAGCGAGCATTCTCAAACCTTCCATTGCTCTCTTCTTACTTCATCGGTAATAATCATCAGATATTTTTCAAATAAAAATGTTATAGGGCAGGCTTTATTAGAATTTTGAGAAAGACCATGCCCAGTCCAGGGGTGGAAAGGGAGGATGACAAACCCTGTGAGATACTTGAGAATATAGAGATGAAAAGGACTTGCAGAGATGGTCCCTGGAGACTAGCTCATAGGCTAAGGTTTGAAAGAATAAATATGCATTAAAAGAAATATTAAATCATTTTTGGAATAATTGCATATTTATTTCCAATTTACATAAACATCAAGCCAGAAACATAACTCTGCACAGATTTATAAAATTCCGATTTGTGCATTTAAAGGACTAATTTTCATTTGGAGCATTTATTGCCTCAAAAGGAGTGGAGTCGGCTTTATGTGACCATGGGTTATGAGACTTCAGCAAAACGACAAACCATGTACAGCTTTTAGAGCTGAAACACCACCTCTGTGTTTGGCCTCTCACAATAGGATGTTGTCTAAACAGAGACTTCCTTACAAAGAAACAATACACTTTGTAGTTTATGAGAAGGTTCCTTGAGCCTTCATTCCACCCTACAGCAGCAGATCTGGCTGTGCAAACACACGGGAATTCTGGGCAGATAGAAATACTCTGGCATTGTGAAGTGGCTTGTACATATAAAGAAAAATAGACACCAGCACACATATTTAATTAGCTCTCTGTGATGGAGACTGTTCAAAATGTCCCCAGGAATAGAGCGTTTTAAATAAGGAGGGCAGAGAAATGAAGCTGACCTATTGAGGCCCTTTTGAAATTAAAAAAAGACTGAAGATTTTTCTTCTGCACCGAGTGCTAAGAATGCTATTTGTTGTACTTAGATAAGAGGTCTGCTTGTGTGGCTTCTTGAAATGGTATCCAGCGGTGTGACTAGCTGTACAGTGTGGAAGTTGCAACTGAGATTCAGTCTTGGTGACAGCTTTAAACGGTACACCCGGATAACCACGGATTTGCTGGTTTGGGATCCCTGCCTTCCCACTGGCCTCCGTTTCCTTTGTCCTTTTGGAGACCAGGAATTCGGTTCTGCTGTTTGGAGCGGGCTGGCGGGCTGCTTGGAGGTAAACCAGCACGTCACGCAGACCAGCTTTCACCACACAGAGCAGCCTGCGGTGATGCACGGAGCAGGGTCTGAGAGCAGCGCCCCGGCCCGGGAAACCCCGCTGGGCGCCGCAGTTTTTTCCTGCTGGCCTCCGGGGCGCAGCCTCCTCCCTCCCCGGTGCTGCTTTATCCTCCGCTGCCGCCTCCCTGCTCCCCGTGGCCGCCCTGGGCCCAGCCAATCAGACGCGAGCGTTCCCAGCAGGCACCGGCCAATCGGCGGCCAGTATTTGCTGGAACCGCCAAACCCTTAGGGGAAAAGCAATAACAAAAGCCTTTCACTGCTGACAAATGTTAAGTGTCTGTGCAGACTTTTCCTGTTTTTAATTTTATTACTGCAAGAATGGAGGGTTTGTTGTTTCTTTCATGTTTCCTTTCAAGCAATTTTAATTATACATTTGTGCTACATCAGGGACTCTGGAATGCAGCGATTCAGCCTATTGCATCTAAAGCTGAAACGCAGTAACCTCTGGCAATACAGATATATTCCTGTACTGTAAATATAGCTGACATGCTAAAGAATTTTAAGCAGCTGTAAAGGTCTTTGACACCACACACAGTGCCCCAGAGAGCACATGATGTGAAAGCCAGCTCTGTCTTCCCCTTGGCCTGCTCTCCCGCCCACTCCCTTTTCCTGAAGGGATGTGCTCATAAAGAATCCTTTCCTCCAATTGTTGTCTTGTGCAAATTTTGACCAAATGCCTAATTACCATTGATTCCCATCCCAATGTGAATGTTATACTCAATGGTGTTTTTTTTTAGAACCATTCCTGAGGGGCTTAGAGTGGAATCAACTGTCAGCTGAGGAAATGCTTGCTTTGCCTCCTGCTAGCTTTTCCCTCCTCTGCTAGACTATTGGTACAGTGAGTAAATTCAGCTGTTACCTAAGTAATAGCAACATAGACCATATGGGAAACCATTTTTAAATCTCTTTTTGAGGCTTCTGAAAGGAATCATTCCTTTCCCCTATTGAGTCCCAACCATTCAATAGTTTACCTGGTGTTAAGATGCTCCCAAGCAAATGAGTCTTACCTTGTGAGGTATTCCTTGCCCATAAAGGAGTTCAATATAGGTTTTTTTTGTAAGATTCAAAATGGCAGTGAACAAGTGAGCAAACCAGCTAGAAATAGATTTTGAGTAATGTTCCTTTGTTTCTCTAAGAAAGCTTGGGGGGAGAGGGAGTAGGTACAGAAAACAAAGGCTCGCTTAAATATTTTATTTCTTTACCCTAATATTTTATGTATGCCTCAACATCTAGATCCTGATAATATATGCTTCACAGGAGTGATTTTTAAAAACTGGCTCTTGTCCTCTAGTGAAAGAAAGAGGATGTTATATTTTGTTTCCCTGTGACATTTGGTATACTAAGTGCACTTAAGTTTCTTGATTCACAGATGCAGTGCTAAATTAAATCATCTGTCTGCAAAGCAGTTGGGAAAAGCAAAATGGCTTGCAGGAAACAAGTGTGCTGGTTTGAGGTTTTTTTTCGAATCTTCTGTGGCAAATGCTTACTAAAGTTGACTCTAAAGATAAGCCCAAGAGCAAACCTATTGTGCACATTTATTTTCTTAAGAGGCCTATTTTAGGAGTCTTTAATATGAAACAAGACCAAACAGTGAAACAGATACTACACCAAGGCTGATTCTTGTCTCACAAAGCCAGAGAGGGGAGGATTAGGAATGATAAATCATCTGATTGTCTGTTATCTGGACTCCATGCCCCCTGCTTTCCTGCTGTATACCTATATTTGTGCACCCACATAATTTTTTTTTTTTTAGTAAGTATTGCCATTATTTTATATTGTTGAATTAGAAACAAAACCAATTTCGTTCAGTCACCTTCTGGTTTAAGCATTGGTAACTGGCATTTAGTTTTTGTTGGCTGCTTGCCAAGCGAAAGCAATTATGTGTAATAATAGAAAAATTAAGAGGTGAGTGTTGCTATTTTACAGCAGGACATGGCAAAGACCATTTCCTTCTGTCAGCAGTATCTTGATTACACTCTCACACACAGCTTTACCCTTTTGTACTGCATGCGCATGGGTACACACACACACACACACACACACACACACACACAATTTCCTGTGGGTTTTCATTTGGGGTCACTGAAACCAAAAAGAGGAAGAATGCAAACCACAGCTTTTGAAAGCAAATGAGAATAGAACTTTGCTGGTAGAGCAGTAGTCGTAATAATAATAATAATAAACGAACTGTAACTGGAGTAATCTGTGCTAACCAGGTTCCTCCTTCATTCCCCACTCTGCAGGTGTCCTAGTGGTTAATGTCACGTGGAGGAACAAAACCTACGTAGGGACCCTCCTGGACTGCACCAAGCACGACTGGGCCCCTCCCAGGTACGCCCAGAGCCGTTTGTTTCAGACTCTGTTTTCTCTCTCTCTTCTTTCCTCTCCTTCCCCCGTCCTCTCTTTGCAAGGAAACTAGAGAGAGAGAGATGAATAATACATAAAAGTCTGCCTGTAATTGAAACCAAGCATAAGGGAAATGAGCAATTCAGGATTGAACACAGTAAAATGCAGATGCTGGATTTCTTTTCTGCCAGGAGATTGCTATTCCCTGCCCCTTCTCTCTTTGTTTTCTTCTTTTCTCAAAATGGGAATTTGAACTGGATTGGAAACTGGCTACCTGAGCCGTTTTTCTTTGGTTTTCGGAGGGAGAATATAAGCTATTGGGAGCCTGCCCTTTGCAGGTGTTGAAATTGTCAGTGAAAGAATAGGGTGTCGTCCTTATCTGGGCCCGGCCCCAAAGCTGCTGGGGTGCCGGCTGCTCTAGGCTGCATTGTGTACTTTGTGATCTCACCTGGCTGGCTGCTCATTTTGACATCTGTTCCTTGCTTCCCTAGGTTCTGTGAGTCCCCCACAAGCGACCTGGAGATGAGAGGGGGCAGGGGCCGAGGGAAGAGAGCAAGGTCTGCGGCAGCCGCCCCGGGCTCTGAGGCCAGCTTCACGGAGTCCAGAGGGCTGCAGAGCAAGAACAGGGGGGGCGCCAATGGAAAGGGGAGGCGGGGCAGCCTCAATGCCAGCGGGCGAAGGACACCCCCGAACTGTGCCGCTGAGGACATCAAAGCCAGCCCGTCCTCCAGCAACAAAAGGAAAAACAAGCCTCCGATGGAGCTGGACCTGAACTCCAGCTCCGAGGACAATAAGCCCGGGAAGCGAGTCCGCACCAATTCCAGAAGCACCCCCACCACCCCTCAGGGGAAACCAGAGGCTCCCTTTTTGGACCAAGGCTGCTCCTCTCCAGTGTTAATCGACTGTCCTCACCCAAACTGCAACAAAAAGTACAAGCACATCAACGGCCTGCGGTACCACCAGGCGCACGCACACTTGGACCCGGAGAACAAGCTGGACTTCGAGCCTGACAGCGAGGACAAGATCTCGGACTGCGAGGAGGCCCTGAGCAACGTGGCCCTCGAGTGCGGGGAGCCAAGCACAGGCGTGGCCGCTTACGACCAGGTGAAGGCGCCCGCGTCCCCCGGCTCGGGGAACCCGGGGACCCCCAAGGGAAAGAGGGAGCTGATGAGCAACGGGCCAGGCTCCGTTATGGGAGCTAAAGCCGGGAAGAATTCCGGCAAAAAGAAGGGCCTTAACAACGAACTGAGCAGCCTCCCGGTCATCTCCAACATGACGGCCGCTTTGGACAGCTGTTCGGCCGACGGCAGTCTGGCCGCCGAAATGCCCAAACTGGAAGCCGAAGGTTTAATTGACAAGAAAAATCTGGGAGATAAAGAAAAGGGCAAGAAAGCCAACAACTGCAAAATGGACAAAAACCTCTCCAAACTGAAAACTGCCCGGCCCATCGCCCCAGCCCCGGCCCCCACCCCCCCGCAGCTGATCGCCATCCCCACGGCAGCCTTCACCAACACCACCACGGGCACCATCCCCGGGCTGCCCTCCCTCACCACCACCGTCGTGCAGGCCACACCAAAGAGCCCCCCGCTAAAACCCATCCAGCCAAAGCCCACCATCATGGGGGAGCCCATCACCGTGAACCCAGCTCTCGTGTCGCTCAAAGACAAAAAGAAAAAGGAGAAGCGGAAGCTCAAGGACAAGGAAGGGAAAGAGACGGGCAGCCCGAAAATGGACGCAAAGCTGGGCAAACTGGAGGACGCCAAGGGTGCTGGGAAAGACCTGTCCGGGCATTTTTTAAAGGACCACCTCAACAAGAACGAGGTGCTGGCCAATGGATTGTCAGAATCTCAAGAAAGCCGCATGGCCAGCATCAAAGCTGAGGCTGACAAGGTGTACACCTTCACCGACAACGCCCCCAGCCCCTCCATCGGGAGCGCCTCCAGAATGGACTGCAACACCTTGGTGAACGGCCAGGCGCCCATGGCTCCACTGCACGTGCTCACGCAGAACGGGGCCGAGAATTCTGCAGCCAAGACCAGCAGCCCTGCCTACTCTGACATCTCTGATGCCGCCGACGATGGTGGTTCTGACAGCAGGTCAGAGGGCATGAGGTCAAAAGCCAGCTCCCCGTCAGATATCATTTCCAGTAAGGATGGCGTTGTAAAAGGGCATTCTTCAACGATGGCACAGTCATCTCAACTGAAAGAGTCCCATTCTCCCTATTACCACGGCTACGATCCTTACTATTCGCCGAGTTACATGCATGCGGGGCCGGTTGGCACCCCTGCAGCTGGCAACGGTGGGAGCACGCAGGGCATGAAGATCAAGAAGGAGTCTGAAGAAGATGCGGAGAAGAAAGACAAGGCCGAGCAGCTAGATGCCAAGAGACTGGACCATCCCTCAGCATCCCTACAGCCTCAGCACCAGTCGGTGATCACCCAGAGGCACCCTGCCCTGGCTCAGTCCCTTTATTACGGCCAGTATGCCTATGGGCTCTATATGGACCAGAAGTCTCTGATGGCCACCAGCCCCGCCTACAGACAGCAGTATGAGAAATATTATGAGGACCAAAGGCTGGCAGAGCAGAAAATGGTCCAGACTGGGAGAGGAGACTGTGAACGGAAAAATGAGCTCCCCTTGAAAGAGCTGGGCAAGGAGGACAGTAAGCAGAAAAACATGCCATCGGCCACAATCTCAAAAGCTCCCTCTACTCCGGAGCCTAGCAAAAACCATTCTAAACTAGGGCCAGCAGTGCCTAATAAAACTGAGGAGACAGGTAAATCGCAGCTTCTCTCCAATCACCAGCAGCAGCTTCAGGCCGACAGCTTCAAAGCTAAGCAGATGGAAAACCACCAGCTTATTAAGGAGGCTGTAGAAATGAAATCTGTCATGGACTCTATGAAGCAGACAGGTGTAGACCCAACCTCCAGATTTAAACAAGTAAGATTGTGGAGCATGGCCCCCGCAGGGAGAGAGCAGGCTGAGACTTGCGCACACATGTCTGGGCTTGGTGGCTAGGACTTCCTGGCAGGAAATAAACCAGAGGGTTCGTTAGGGTTGATTCCCCTTCTTTCGAAAAATATCTTAAAGGACTGTCTCAGAAGTTACTGTGTACCTCTGAAAAGTACATCATTCACAGTTTCCTACAACAAACTGTGGACATGTGCTTTCTGTGGTCAGTGATGCTGTTGACTGACTAACTGAATCTGACGTGGTCCCTTGATTTCTTACTGCATCCAAATGAGGGAACTCTGCCACAAGGCCATTGAGTTTCCTTCTGACTTAACACTGAGATTGAGAGTCTGATCTCTAAAATACTTGTTTTTCTACATTCCAAATTTCTGTTGGCATCTTGTAGGAATGTTAAAACTAGGTTCCTAAATTCACATTCCCCACTCAACTTTTTAGTGAAACTTGGGACCCAAATGTCTTTCACACGGCACCTGGGATGCCTGGATGTCGGTTTTGCACCTGTGTTAGTGCCCCACGTGGAGCTCGGTGCTGGCCGCCTGTAAGGAGAGAGGAGGTGTGGGTAGATGTGCCTCGGGCAGTCATCCCAGGCCGTGCAGCCTGAGGTTACAGGTGCAAACACCTGGAAGTCGATCCCGTGAAAGCACACACGTGCTGGCACTTTCTGTCATGGTGCAGACATCCTGACTGCCTTCGGTTCCCTGAGTGTCCATTTTGGAATTTCCCAGCATCCCTCACCACCACTGCTCCCACAATTAGATGTCCTTGGTGAATCAGAGCAACAAAATTCTTTCTTCACATTCATTTCTGTTCAAAAGTCGGACCTTAGGCCCAACCTTGAATGCTCACTTAGGACCTAAATTCCCAGTGAGTTTATCATAAATGGCATGGGGGTCACATATCCATTTAGGACCCGAATCTCCCTCCCTCTCCCCTCCTCCCAGGCCTGACTCAGACTGTGGCTTCCCAGGGCTGTTAGAAGGGCATGATTTGTAGAATGGGGTTATAAATGGCTTTGTTTTCTAATAGAAAAACCATAATGTGTACTATTAATTAGAAATTTTGTTATGATTAAGATATTAGCACATAATGAGATATGGGCCAACATAGTAAGCTTCAGCTGTGGGTGAAGAAAATGTATTAGGAAACCAAGAGTGTTTTCCCCCTAAATGATATTAATTGCTAGAGTAATTATTTGGATTTATTATTATTAGCTTGAGTTGGAATTTTAAAAATTCTTTTTTGCCTATGTGAGATATTAAAAGGAAAATGAGAGTTAGATTAAATACATGTAAGGATGTTATTTAATGTAGAGAAATGACCTAAGTTTGAAGCCCATCCCTACACATGGGCAGCCGTGTGACCCTGGCATCACTTGGAACTTTAAAAGCTTTGCTTTTGTCTTCTGCAGAAGTGATCCGTAATAATGCCTATCCCAGACATTATTCTGTGTAGGAGGGAAAGCTCTGTGCATTGCTAGTACATGAATAAATGTTAACTTAGTAATAGTAATAATGTTGTCAGGATGATTAATGGTTTCTTTGGGAAAAAAAATTGAAATTTTAAAACAAATCTTTTTCCAAAAAATCAGGATCCAGATTCAAGGACGTGGCATCATTATGTATACCAGCCCAAATACCTGGATCAGCAAAAGTCAGAAGACCTTGACAGAGAAAAGAAATTAAGGGAGGACAGTCCCAGGAAGACGCCCAATAAAGAGAGTAGCATGTCCGGCCTCCCGGTGTCCTTAACCAGCATTAAAGAGGAGCCCAAAGAGGCCAAGCGCCCTGACTCTCAGTCCATGGAGGAGAGCAAGCTGAAAAGTGATGATCGAAAGACTCCCGTGAACTGGAAGGACTCTCGGGGAACAAGAGTGGCTGTGTCCTCACCCCTGAGTCAGCATCAGTCCTACATACAGTACTTGCATGCTTATCCTTACCCACAGATGTATGACCCCAGCCACCCTGCATACCGGGCTGTTTCTCCTGTCCTAATGCACAGTTACCCTGGTACGTGTTGTGGGTTCTAACTCTATTGGAGGGAAGAGGCTGTGTTCGAATCTTAGCTATTAAAAACACAGGATAAATTAAATGCTTCAAGAGTGACATTTGTTTTGCTTATTTTCATGCTGCTTAAAGTCCCAAAGATGAAACTGATTTAATAGAAGAGTTCTTTAAGATGTCAAGAGTCCTCGGCTATTGTTTCCAGCGTCTCAGATAGGCTGCATAGCTGTTAGACTGACAGATACTTTATTGCCTGTGAAAATATTCTAAGCACTTACTGTCATAATCATTATAGTTACTGTTCCTTTCACTTAAGCGGACACATAAATGTATGAAATGGCTGTAAGCTCAATTCTGTTTATAACCTCCGTTCATCAGGATGAATTAACTGGGAGAAGAAAATTGAAGGGCCTAGGTACAGTGTAACAATGATGTAGCCCATTCTTAACGTAACCCCCATGTTAAGGTCTATGACTCTTATCCCAAATTCATGTAATCTAAATGGTTTTCTTTTTTTTTTTTCTTTTGCTTTTAAGATGTAGCTCATAACTTGATGTGGCATTTGTTGTTTATCTGCAGGGGCCTATCTCTCTCCAGGATTTCATTATCCTGTTTATGGGAAAATGTCGGGGAGAGACGAGGCCGAGAAAGTCAATACCAGCCCCAGCATCAACACGAAAACGACCACTGAATCTAAAGCACTGGATTTGCTCCAGCAGCACGCCAGCCAATACCGCAGCAAGTCCCCTGCTGTAAGCCGCCTTTTGTTCTCATTTAGAAATCCTGGGTTTTGGGGGGAGGAAAAGGGGCATACTAGAGAACAGTCTTGACATACAATTGGTTTTGGAACCCAGCTGTGATTTCTGGATGCTGTTTTATCCAGATACATAAAGAGTGTAATGTTCAAAAGTAAGATGGTTTCACACGAGGGGGGAAAAATATTAAAGCGTATACAGTGGTCACAAGCTTTTCTATTGCAAAACCTATACTTTGCCTTGCCGGGAGGATGCATGTTAGGTGGACATTTAAATTCATAGGATCCATCTTTTGGTGCAAAATATTTGTGGTGCAAGGTATTTGGATGCACTTGCATGCCAGAGTGAGTCAACTCTGGCATGCAAGTGCATCCATTATGTATACCAGCCCAAATACCTGGATCAGCAAAAGTCAGAAGACCTTGACAGAGAAAAGAAATTAAGGGAGGACAGTCCCAGGAAGACGCCCAATAAAGAGAGTAGCATGTCCGGCCTCCCGGTGTCCTTAACCAGCATTAAAGAGGAGCCCAAAGAGGCCAAGCGCCCTGAGTAATCAGGCATGGAGGCTGCATCTGTTCCTTTTTGGCCTTGACTCTTCGTCATGTCCCTACAACTTGCTGAAGTAATGCAGACGTGTGTCCTTGTGAAAGATGGCTCTCCCGACACCCTGCCTCCCCGCCCCCGCCCTAGAGGCTGTTCTGAGGGGAGACAAAAGAAAGGATGTGGTTGTTCCTGGCGAGGAAGAGAGGTTTGGAATAAAGTAAAATACAGCATCTGTGATGTGAATGAGTCCACCAGGGACTCCAAAGAAAGTAGAAAAGATGATTTATGAATCTTTGTGCGAACTACTTCTAGTGCAAAGATTTTTCTCAAGTGAGAAAAAGAATTTTAGTGAAAGCGTGGTTAAGCTCTGGTGGATAAAAATGTACAAAAAAATACATGAACTTTAACCGAACTGTAATCTGGGAGAACAGAGCTGCTTCTGAGTGTACTGAAATGGAAGATTCCGGGATGCTTTGGCAACGATTGGCTGTACCTGATAGTGGCATGTAATACAATGCATTTTTCAATGGAACAAAAACAGACAAAGATATTTAAAATTGCAAGATAGATTCTCCCCACAAAATGTGAATGAAATAAAAAGGTAATCAGAAAACTCGACCTTGAAGAAATTTCTTACAACTACTTCTTTTCCTTGACCCCATATTTAAAAGTTGTTCCTGGCCAGGCCAGTGTTGCTCAGTGGTTGAGCACTGACCTATGGAACAAGAGGTTACCATTCAATTCCTGATCAGGGCACATGCTCAGGTTGTGGGCTCAATACCCGTGGAGGAAGCAGGAGGCAGCTGATCTATGATTCTGTCTCATCCATCATTGATGTTTCTATCTCTCCCTCTCTCCTTCCTTTCTGAAATCAATAAAAATATATTAATAAAAATAAAAGTTTCTGGGAAGAAATTGAGTAGATTCTTAATCTAAAATATAGGTAAATAGAGAAGTCATTTGAGGAGATTATTAGTTCCCCTTTTGGGTGGACCAGTTCTTTTAGTTTTGACTTAATCCCAATGGAAACTGGAACTTTTTTGACTTGATTTCAACTAATAAGTAATTTCAAGTATCTGTGTAATTGCTTTATAATCATTAACGTATATTGCTGAAAGGACAAACGTGGTACTCCCTCTGCTTTTTTGCGGAGGACTAATGGGATAATCTCTCTCTTCTGTTGCAGCCGGTGGAGAAGGCTACAGCTGAGCGGGAACGGGAAGCAGAGAGGGAGAGGGATCGCCACTCCCCCTTCAGCCAGCGGCACCTGCATACGCACCATCACACCCATGTGGGCATGGGTTACCCGCTAATCCCTGGTCAATACGACCCTTTTCAAGGTCAGCAGCTCTATTGTTGTGCCTCTCTTCGTTCTGCTCCGCTTTGGAAAGCAGTTGCCCAAACTGCCTTTCATGTCTTAAAGACCTTGAGCTTTGAGTTAAGGTTAGCTCTGGGAGGGTTTTCAATATATACTTTTATATTTCCTAGTAGCAAAACTAAGGCTATCCCACACTTTTGTATTCTGCTAAGACACAGAATGGATACCACTTAATAATTGTCACTTGTTGATGTTATCAGTGGCTTACTGTTATCTCGCAGGCTAAGGGTGGCGACCAGTGTCTGGGGCACAGACTATAGCAATCAGAAGATCAGATAGCTACTTGAGGGAATTGTGGAAGCAAGGAGGCAGGGTGGGAGGCTTCCTGAAATTGTCCTGATTTCTGTAGACGTTTTAAGCTGCTCTTTTCTCATGGAAGTAACAGAGGTAACATGGTCATTTTTTATGACTTCATTCAGGGACCCTCCAGAGCCCTACACTGCTGTGACTCTTTAAAGATGGAGAAACATCTTAAAAAAAAAAAAAAAATATATATATATATATATATATATATATATATATATTGATTTTTCTGAGAGAGAGAGAGAGAGAGAGAGAGAGAGAGAGAGAGAGAAACATTGATGTCAGTTGTTTGACAGCCTCCTGCATGCTCTCTACTGGGGAATGAGCCCATAGCCCAGGCATATGCCCTGACCAGGAATTAAACTGGGGACCTCTCAGTGCCCAGAATGATGCCCAACCAATTGAGCCACATTTTACCAGGATGGAGAAAAATCTCTTAAAAAGCTATAGAATTAACAGGAGGGAGCCTTGAACTGATGGTGCTGTAGTTGAGCATGTGCCATTTGTCCTAACTCTGTCACCTCTCAGCAGATGGGCCATGGCACCAGCTCTCCCAATAGATCACCTGCTAGGATCTTACTGTCTTTGCTCTGGCTGCCACAAAATACCACAGTCTCTATGGCTTTAAACAACAGGGATTTATCTCCTCATAGTTGTGGAGGCTGGAAGTCTGAGATCAGGGTGCCAGCATGGTCAGTTTCTGGTGGAAGCTCTTCCTGGTTTGTAGGCGACTGTCATCTTGCTGTGTGCTCATCTGACCTGTTTGCTGTGCTGGGGGTTGGGGGGGGAGGGGGGATGGGGAAAGAGGAGAGAAAATGTTGCTCTCTGATGTCTCTTCTTATAAGGACACAAATCCTGTTGGATTGGGGCCCCACCCTTATTAACTCATTTAATTTTAATTACTTCCTTATAGGGTCCTATCTCCAAATATAGTCACATTGGGGATATGACTTCTCATCGGGAATATTGTAAGGACACAATTCAGTCCATAGCTAATGCTTGTCAAGTTGCCTCTTACTCTGCTGTGGGAATACAAGATGATATGTTTACAAGTGCTTCCAAAAGTGGGAAGAGCGTTACACTTGTGAAAGGGTCATTTTAAATTATTCAACTCATGTTAATGAATGTATGTCATGTTAAATGAAGTGTGCCAACTTCAGTGTTAAAGAGAACATAAAGGACATAGAAGGAGGGATGATCTTTCTTGGTTTGTTTTCCTCTATTTTATCTGAAATTGTTTTCGATAAATTAAAAAGGATTTTCTGTTGGTGTCTGCATGACATTTGGAGCTATTACATTCTCTGTTGCCTTTCTCTTGCATGGTAAAAGTTAAGGCTATTTCTGAGTTTGGTTCACCGATTCCATGTACCTTTGGGATGCCTTGTGTTCAAGCACTGAGGAAACTGTTAACGTGATAAGTTATTATGAAAGTATTGTATTCTAAGCAAATAACATGTCATTTCTGTAATTCACTGTGACTTTTGCTTCCTGTTGTTACCTGGTGGCCATTATCTCTCCTGAGCTTCCTATTCAGGAATGCGTGCAAACCTTTTAGCACCATGCAGAGCCAGATAGATGGAAGGCTATATTCTCTTTGTGTAGCGATTAAGAAAACCTCAGAGTATTCGTCAGAGGGACACATATTGGTTAGGCTAAGTGGATTGCAATCTGTCCTTGCTGCATGAAACATTTCGTGTGTGTGTGTTCAGGAAAAGACATACCACTGCTGCTGGGCCCTCAGCCCTTTACCACTGGCCTGTGTCTACTTGTGTCTTTCTGAATGTCTCAGAACCCTATGTTTTCCCCCACTATAGGCTTGACCTCTGCTGCCCTCGTTGCCTCTCAGCAGGTGGCTGCCCAGGCATCTGCATCAGGAATGTTTCCTGCACAAAGAAGGTAACTAACTATTCTTTACATTTTTTTAATCAGTTTTTTAGGTAGAGGCATTTCAATGGGTGGGAGAAGCAAGAACAGGCATTTTAGACCAAAAACTTAGGTCCTGAGGGTTATCTATTGTTGTACTGAATGTGCTTTTATGCCACTATGCTTCACATGCAACTTCTATTCCACAATACTCATTCTATAGCTGAAATGTAGATCTGGACTTAATGGATCCATGGTTTAAACAGTTGGGTAGTTTCTAGGGTCATCCTCAGAGCTTTGATAAAGTAATTCACTATAACTCCCTTTGTGTTTCTATGTTTAAAAATAAAGTTGCAAATGGAGAAATTTATTTTCATAATGTTAAAGGTAATGTTTATTCTTTATTTTTAATTATCCCTCAAGTGTTTTTTTTTAAAAAGGGAAAGAATACATTTTTACAATGTATGTCATTACCCCGAGCTCATTCACTTTCTATGGAATTGAATTCCATGAATTAAATAGAACTAAAATAAGCCTATCAATCTCATGCTTTTCATATTTTCAAGTGTGTATAGAACCGTGTGCTAAGGTTGTCTTTTCTTTTGCAGAGAATAACAAGATTGGAAATGTACGTTGTCATGTGACTGGATCACATGGGGAAGCGCTTTATACAGACATCAGTTCCATGGTGTTAATTTGAAATGCCTTAATGGCAGGCAAAAACCAGTCATTTCATTTTTGTAAATTACAGATTTTATCACAGAGTAACAAATGTTGCTGTAATTAAACTTCTGTTTTATATATATATACGTATACATATATGTATATATACATATATATATATTCTTTACTTTTTGTATCAGTAACCAGGCTCACACACACAGGGTCTGCTGCCAAGTTGCAAACCACTCAGTAAAGGAAATAAAAAAATGTATCTGTCATGTTGAAGAGTGTTAGCCACAAAGGCTGCTTACTTCCTTTTCCTTTCCCTTTGAATTGTAAATAACTAATGTTATGTATCAGTGTGCCTGAACCTTGCATATCCTTCAGATATTTCCCATAAACCCCTCAGAAAGGCTAACTGTGATGATGACACTTGGTACAATTTAGACGTCTATTTGGTGGCTCCTGTTAAAGACGCATCGTGTAAAATGTTCCTGTAGTCACTGTTTGTATGTGTGTATTGTGGAAAAAATACTTTTGGAAGGCATGGGGTTGCCAGTACCACAAAAACTGTGTTGTACATAATGTAAAGATTAAAATGGGGACATAATGAGCATCTGTGAATAATGAGGTGTCATTTTTTGATAATCTTGAATGGCAAATAACCCAATAGCCTGCAAACCAGAGACATCTGTGATTGTTCTATTACTTGAATAGTCCTGCAGTCCTCCCCCCCCTTTTTTTTTTTAATGTTTACAATTATCCAGTTTTAGAAGAGAGAGACTTTAACGCCATTGCCTGGTTACTTGTTTTATGCTGTAATCTAGTTTATTTTATGTAAAATGTATATTGAATGCTTTCCTTTTTTATACCTGCCTTAAATAATTTGGCAATCAGAATTAAAAAGGTTTTTTTTTTTATAATGGCTTCTTGTCTGTGTCATGTTATTGCCAGTTGGCTGGTGGGGATTCTAATTTGTAAAGAAAGGTTTCGGAACGTTATGAATGTCCGATGCATACAATATGATATATAGATAGAAACTTCTTATATGATACACAGGTATAATAGCCAAATAGTATATTTAATTCAGTGGATATATGCTTATTTGCTGGATATTTACACTCAATATTGAGTATAATGTTACTGCAAATAGGTACAAACATGTTTCTTTGGTATAGAATGATATTATGGAAGTATAAATCTGTGACATCTGGTCAGTATAAAGTGTGTAAAAAGTCAATAGGTCATTTATTTGGCTTATCATTAAATTGTTTTACTAGCATATTTTATGCCAAATATACAGAATTAACTGCTCCTTCCCTTTCTCCTTCCTCTCCCTTTCCCCCTCCCTTCCTTCCTTTGAATAAAAAGTTGTTGAGACCTACTTCATCTCAGGCCTTGCAAGGTGCTGGGGTATGGCAATAAGCAAAGCAGATGGAAATTCCTGCCTTCTTAGAGTTTTCGTTTTCTATTATAGTAGGTGGGGTAAACCTAATACAATATATGAGTAATGTGCAGAGCACATCAGGTAAAATAAAATTTTCATTCAATTTCTTTTTTGTTATAACATTGATTAGATGCCATAGGAACTTAACTCTTATATCAATTACACAATGGTAAAATTGTCCTTATATGTCATTGGCTTAAAATCAGAGAACCTATTATTGATGTTAAGTGAGGATTTGACTATATTAGATGGTTGGTAAACGCTGTGGAGAAAAAGAGAGCATGGGAGTGGGAGTTTGTAAATGCAAGTAGTGATGCGGGCGGCCTCCCTGAACAGAGTGAGGAAGAGGTCCATGCGCACATCTAGGGCGAAGCACCGCAGAGAGACGGAATGCGAGAGCAAAGGTGTGCGAGCAGCACGTGCTCCCTGTGCCCGGACTGGTTGATTTCAAGTTTTCCTTTCAGCTGTAAGTCTTTATGATTTTCCTGGAATTGCTAGCGACAGTTTTACTACTTGGTTTTCTAAAAAATTCTTTAAGTTGACAAAATTTGTCTTGGTATAATTTGCATAGTTTCCCTACTTAGAGCCCGTGCTTCACAAGTAAATAGATGTTGACAATAAAGAAGAAATACTTCTGCCGCTGGTGGGAAGCCACCGTGAACTGTTGCGTTTGCTGTGCGCCTTTTGGGTGTAGTCTATGTTCTTAGTACATTTCACTAGGCAGATCCTTCTCCCAGTCTTCAGTTTGTTTTTCTTTTGCATTTCATCCACTTGTCGTTTACAAAGCTATTGTTTATGGTGTTTGTTGCTACACGTGAGAGTTTTTCACATACTTTAATCATTTTTTTAAGTTATCAAATTTTTTTCAGTTCTTGCATCATATCCAGCTGTGTCCTTGAAAACAATGTAATTGGCCTTATCCCAGTTAAACAAGTATGTTTCCTCTGTTCAGCATATGGTTAAAGTATGTCTGTTGGTTGCCTAAATGCTGCTCCAGTTCTGGAACCAACCAAACCATTCAATGGTTGAAACATAGGAGCAGAACTAAGGTCAATTACATCTCCCCCCGCTGAATTACCAAGTTCCCTGGTGTCCAGAAGTCCAGTGGACTCCCAATCACTTTTCTGCTTTGAACAAACATATGGAAACCGATCTTGCCTTTTGGCTGCAAAATGACTGCTTGTATGCTCATTATATCCCAGGCTTATAGTCATTTCTCGTGGGTGCCTAACAAGTTAGGGTATAAAGAGGAGCATCAGACCATGCTTAACCCTGCTGCTGTCATAAACAAGAGTGCTGGTAAACGCAGAGAGAGACGTGACCAAAAGAACAGTGCAGTTTGAATACTCTCTCCTCCTTGGCTTTTACTGGAACATTTTTCATAACTAGTTTACATTAATCGCTGAATGTAGTTCTATTTCTTCCCCTCACTGTTCCAGTGCTGTTTTTGCTGATGACAACATGAATTGCCAAAGGCCAGAGCTTGTTTCTATTACGTGTGCCATTTCTCTAGCTGAGTACGTAGTACCTGAATAGGAAATTAAAGGTTCCCAAGGGACAAGCATGCTTGGCTCTATTATGTATGTTACTATGATGAATCTGCCATTAATACCGTTCTAATTGTTTTACTTTTATAGACATAAAACCAGTCCCCTTAGCGACTAATAAGATTTATTGATTTTACTAAACATTATTCATTGCAGGCCTGCTCATATCACCTTATCCTGAACACGTGCTAAGTGCCTGCAGTGCTGATATGTGCAAATCAACTAACTTCACGGGGACAGGAGGCTGAGGAGTTGTTTACAGCTGTGGTCCCAGCGAGCACAGAGTATTAAAAACAAGGTAATAGGCGCCATATAGAACCATTTGCTCCTAAAGTAGGATTTCTGATGGCTTCTTCGTGGAAACTTACCGTTAATGTCCCGCCCAGGTCACTAAGGCAACATCGGACAGGCTGGCCTTCCGCATTCACTCAGGCCCTGGCCTAATTTAGTGTGGTTTCAGCCCCAGAGTCTGAGAGTAGCCAGCATGAATAGCTCTGATTGATTACAGGACAAAACAGCAGTTTAAATGATAATTGCTGGCCATTTCATTCCCTGCCTCTGAAAAAGAGACAAGACAGGCAAAGCCATTTATTATTGTTTTGTCACTAACCACTGCCATCCACTCCCAGCTTCCCGCAGGAGCCCGAGTCACGCACGCTGTTTGCTTTCGATAAACTTTAGGGGAGAAAACACAGTGTAGCCGCTGTGAGAGGTGCTTTGGTCATGGATATATTATTTTTAATTTCTTAATAAAAATCACTCTCTAAAGCAGAGAAAGATGAATTATAGTAATGCCAACCTCTTCGCTGTTGACATTTTAGACCAGAAAATTCTTTTTTTGGGTGGAGGTGGGTGTGATCCTGTGTATGTGGGAGGTTCTACCCACCACATGCCAGTAGCAACTGCTAACCCACCTCCCACTCCAAACTGTGAGCACCAACTGGTCCTGAAACTCAGATCTGCTGCCTGGCCGCGGCCCACAGATAAAAGGCTAACTTCCCTGTTCTTTGTTGCTTTAGAACAAGGATGGGAAACCTTTATTTCTGCCAACAGCCCTGTGGATATTTATAACATCATTCAAGGGCCATAAAAAATTATCAATTTAAAAATTAGCCTGCTATATTTGGTCAAACATTTAATTAACCCCTAATGCTTTGGCAGGGCCAGATTAAATGATTTCATGAGTATATGGCCCGAGGGCCAGACATTCCCCACCCTTGCTCTAAAAAATATAAAGCTCACCAATGGCTGCTGGTAATCCCATGAAATCATAATGGAGATGCTCATTTTCCAAAATGGATAAAGCTGGACCAGATCTGGCTTTTTAAGGAGAATTGATGGTCCATATTTTAACATACTAATTAATACTTTTTGTAGGTTGAAAATGAATTCAACCTAAAAATCATATGAGAGGGCTAAATTCAGTTAATAGAGCATCAATTAGTAAGATAGGTTTTACATATGTTGTTAAAAATATTCACCCAGGCTCTCTAAAATGCACTTTATTTTTCCCTGGAAAGAAGGCTTTCCAGTTGGAAAACCTTGGAAAAGGCCATTTGTAAGTGAGCTGCTGGGATGGAACTCAGATTTTCTTCCCGCTGGGTGAGCCATTCAGGAATAACCTTGGGAGAGTCTAGAAGCTTCATATATTTCAGTGAAGGTGTTTCTTCCTTTAGACATTTGAACATACAGTGAAAGGAAACATGACCAACTGGAGAGTCAGAGCAGACTTGAGCACAGGCACTGGCACCACCCAAGTGTGTGCTCAGGTTCAGGATCCAGGCTTCTGGTCCCGTCCTGCTCTGCAGGTGGAACAGAACCTGGTGCCTTTTGGATGTAAGGAACGTCCAAGCCGATCTGACCACATATGTCTGGAGGATAACAGTTTTGCAGCTTCTTTTATGCATTTAAAATTGAGGGAAGTAAGGCAGATTACAAGGAGGTGGGAGGAAGCAAGG